AAAACCAGTGGTAGGGAAGCGACTCCCTATACGTGTCCGAAGCAACGACGGTCCGGGCTCAGAGACACGGCGGAATTGAGCGAGGACGTGCTATCGGCGGATGTTCGCCATGGAATGGACCAACGGCCCTTTCGAGGGCTGCGGAAGCACGTAGCGTGTTCGTTTCGCGTCGCACTGGTCCGTCGTGCGCGGCAGGAATCCTCTTCTTCCAAGAGCCCAAGGATGGGGATCCGCGAGTAGGTGGGCTACGATATCTCCGTCGTCTCGCGCGTATCACAGTGGCTGTGGATATGGTTCTGCGCCGCTTGACGTGGTAGATGCACCGACTGACGGCTCGGCGGTTTCCTAGGTCGTTCGGGTCGTCGTCACGTTGTTGACGTCTGCGAGCCTGTACTATTTGTTGTAGCGCGGTTGAGGTTAGTTTCGAGAAGATGGGTGAAGGCTGGGCGCCGAGAAGCAAGATCGTTAAAGATTGGGTAACAGGAAATGGGAGAGGTGCCAGGGAAAAGGACTGGTCTGGGTACGGGGGGTTTGGGGGGGAGAGAGCTGTGGGCAGTGGCATTGATGGGGTGGGGCTGCTTACCTCCTCCTGTACCTACTTGGTAGGGGACCAGGCAGGGGTGGTCAGACTGTGGTGGGGTTGCAGGTACCATACCTGTTAGATAGGTACTCCAGCTGTGCAGCTGGATGCTGAATGCTGAATCCCCATGGTGACGCCAAGGTACCTTAGGTAGCTAGGTAGACAGACAACTACCTATCTAGGTAGTACCTAGCGCACCCACCCTGACCTACCTAGGTACCTAGTAGGTAGGTACTTAACCTTGGGTACTGGAGTAACTAGGTACAACTTGCAAGCAAAGGTAACGAACATACGTACTTCTCACTACCTAAGGTAGACTATCTACTATCTACAAGTATGTAGGCCATCCTTTCGACATCCATCTTCGACGGCGATGCACGATCTGATGTGTGCGAATGCGATTTGAAGGCTCTTCGATGAGGGCTTCTCTGTGGCCGCGATACTGGGGACTCGCCCCCGCCGTTTGAAAGACAGACGTAGGGAAACCCGAGTAATTTTCGCCGCTGGCCCGTCCCGCGTCCCCATATGTTTCGTGGTTGTGTGGTTGTGTCGGGTGAGACGGCGACATGGAGCACCAATAGACGTAATCACTGTTTCGGCAACCGTCGATCATGGGCGAGCGAGCCCACTCTCGCGCAACACCAGCTCGCAGCGCGCCGACAAGAGGCGCGTCACAAGTGGTCGGCAAAGCCAGCATGTCTGGTAACACCGGTGTCTGTGTACGCTCAACGTCCATGTCATCTCGACAGTATCTAGAGCAGGGCCAAAAGGTATGGAGAAAGGTCCAGAACATTGTACGGATTCGGAGTTGCCCAGTCTGACGAAGTGCGCGATGGACAGGAGTCACGCAAATATGTACGTACATGCGCCGGCCGCCGTAGTACTACTACGTACGTAGTATTTCAAATCCTTTACTGTGCACGGTACATACCGCCAGACAACATGTCTATACTTATCCACCGGCACAGCCATGCAGTCGCACCATGTATCTGCAAGTCTATCAATCAACCCGCCCAAAATGGTGAAAAGGCCAATGCATGGACGGGCGCAACTGGGTGCTGCCCTCAAGAGGCTGGCCGTCGACCGACGACCATGACCGACGAGTATCTTAAGAGAGACGAGGACGGAGAGAGCCAAGAAACCAGTCAGTTTTCTTATATACACCAAAACTTACCACTTATACCAGGTATTTATTCTAGACTAATACACGCAGACGACAGCCAGCGTGATCTGCCTAGGTAGGTACCGGCTGTCTACCCGCTACTCGCAATACCCATGGGCGGCAAATGCGCTGCGTTCGTGCGTTCGGCATGACCTTTCATTAAACTAGATGGCAGGTAGCGGGTCAAATAAGCGGTAAATCTAATTGTACTATCTAACTACGTACTTGGTATACTTGGTATACACCTACCGGTAGCAGCGCACATGTCCCCTTCGCAGTGGCCTACCGATCGTCGTGATTCTCGCGATATCCTGCAGTGCCACCATGGGGACGGACGGCTTCCCGTCCCCCGCAACTAGTCGGATGGCGGCAGACCAGCAGTGTGCAGTGTGCGCGTGCACCGCACCTCATGGCACCTTCGGTCTGTGTCCCTCCTTGGCGCACCTACATACATGCAGCGCACAAGTTCACCTCCAACGGAACCGTCCAAATGATGTAGCACAGCATACCTAACCCGCTGGCCCGCGCGGATCACATCTCCCTCCAATGGTTTCCTCGTGTCGGGCCCCAATGTCGGGTGTTCTCCTCTTCACGGCGCCCGCACTAGCATTTGCCGTCGACTGTTCGGCCGTGGCCCTGATTTCTCGAGCTTGCTTGGCAAAGCTTGTTTGCCCGTCGAGGCTTGGCTTGGCATTGCTTGAGACGGCCATGTTTCGAATACCCGCCTTGGCTGGCATCTGTCGTCAAATTCAACGGCGAGGCGCCGTACGTGGCTGGCGGATGGCTGCAGCAGAAGGAGAGACAGACAGACAGACCACTCTCACATCATATGTTTGACGTATCTTGATCCCATCGGCCCTTTCATGCGGGCCATTGGAGAGGGCTGTGATCATCAAGAGATCGTTGCTCCCGTCGGGAGGGGGGCATTTGTAGATGGAGTCAGGGTAGTATATATGACTACTGTCATCTAGAGCCCATCCATTCAAGTCTCTGCCCGGACGCTACGCCACGCCAGAGGGCTGGACACGTCTCCAAAGGGGAGTATTTACCCAGCCCGGCTACCCATCAGACATCTGACAACACTGTCTGAAGTGGCCAATCCAGTTCACTCCGGGGAAAACCCAAAAATAAAAAATAAGACGTGGATGAAAACGGGAGAACACGAAACGAGAAGCGGAAAGGCTCTGTCGATATCAAAGTTAATGTAGGTACTAGTTAGACAGATGCCTTAACTACGGGCTCACAGCTACACAATTGTCAATAAGAAACCCCCTCGCCCCCTTCCCAGTTAGCACACCGTAATCGGTCAAGGCTCGCGATCCGGTTGGCGGATGCATACGGTAGAGACATTGCGTGAGCTATACAGTGGTCTAGGATCCAGGTAGGTTCTAGGTTCGATTCTTAGTGCTGCTGTATGGCTCCTTTTGAGACTCAATTGACGAAGCGACTTCGGAACCCAATGGTAGTATTGATGCATGTCTCGGCTTTACATAGGCTCCATTATCTGCCCATGCATCTGCGCCGCCTCTCAGGAGATTGTGTAACCGCACATGTGTAGACGAAGTGGCTCACGGCCAGCGCGCACAGAGACAGAGACAGCCTTCGCTGTAAAACAGCGCCTTTTATTTTCGGGCTATACCCGGACATGCAGTTCAATAAACCTGCAGCGTGTCAAATTTTTGAGTTAAAAACAAGCCAGTCCCATAGCCCTGATTCGGCCTCTGCGTCGAAGAGTATGGCGAAATACGTCAAGCTTGAAGATGGAGCCTCGAGGTATGTAACTGGACTACCAACGCATGGCCATCAAAGGAACATCATAAGGAATACGTCGATACAGAGGCATCGCTGATATCTATCGGGCCCAGTGTGGCAGACTCCTCAGTATAATGCATACAAGCCTGCAATTTTCTAGAGATTAACCAGCGTGGGTTCATGCTAAGCTTGAGACCGTCGATCTCCGCTATGTGCATGTCTACCACATCCATGAATGACTTCTTGACTTGGGTTCTTCCATCATTCTTTTTGTGGACAGTGTGCCTCAGCTGTGAATATTTCCAGTAAAGTGTCCTATATATCCTAGATAAGAGAGTGCTTGGATTACCTGATCTGCTGAATTTGGTTTGTCCTGGACCTGATATAACAGCATGGGGTCTATTTTCAGGTGACATGCCAAGAGGGCCTGCCTTGTCAATGTAAAGTGTATGACCAAGGAAAAGCGAATATGGCATGGCAAGGACATACAAATTGCTAGGCCGAAAGTTTGACGACACCAAAGCTCCTCCTGCCTACTCGGAAGGCTATATGGCCCGCTTCTCTTATACACATACCTCATGGCGGCGCATCTTGTATGTCATACGCAGGCCGGTCGAGGAAGCTGAATAGGCTGTGATACTCGATATCACGGGTAATTGAATACGGCCTCAAAGCAAGGTAACCGAGGGTCGGAGGTCCGAAGCGAGGGTCTTAGACACTGGCCCGAAGCGTGAGTATTAGAACCTAGCCAGATCCTCCCGCTCAGGGCCAGGAGAGGATATACACAGGTCTCCTTGACTCCATAGTTGATTATCGTATGAGTAGAAGACCACCCTCCCAAGCCCTCTGTAAGAGCACCTGTCACATTGTAGGCCTTCATTTAAAAACCACTCTGAAGTTTCATCACAGCATGTGACTGCTGTGAGTACTGTTGGCTCTACACTACATGATTCTACGACTGTCACGGAACTACGGATTAACCCCTGTCAAGCCTGGGATTACCGCACGAGTCATAACCCAGGGTATATAAGGTGGCAGGACAGCTTTTGCTGGAATATATAGAACTTAGACCTTGTGAATAACAAGTCAATACTGGGACCGCCAGCAGTGTGAACCGTGGACAACGACGAGTTGGCGACGAGCGTTAGCAATGCGAGTTCCTCCTTTCTCATTACACGCTCCTTGTTGTGGACATGTTTTTCTTCCCTGCTCAGAATGGCTGTAGTAGTAGGGCTTTGCTGCGCATTGGAGTTCGAGTTGTAGGTGAATAAGTTATATTTCCCGTGTTATAGCCGCATCCCCTCCTTACCACATCTCGAAAAAAAAAAAAAAAAAAAAAAAAAAACCCGCGACGTCACAAAAAGACAAGCAATCAACAATTATCGCACGCGAAAACCCCCCAAGCACAACCTGAACCTAACACGGGACTGTGTGGTTTCGCGCGCCAAAACAAGTGAATAGTGATATTATTGCTCATATCCGCACTCCTCATCATCACAGGACATTGCCCGCTTGGCTAAGTGGTATAGCGTGTCACTAGTACTCGAGCTCTACAAAGATCTCGGACCTAGATAGGTGCCATGACAAGATCAGCGGTTCGATTCCGCTAGTGGGCAAACCAATCTCTTATCATCCGAATTGGTGTAGTGGCTAACATTTGACGCTCTCATCTTCAACACAATTGTGATGTGGAAAAGTGCCGTCAAGCCCGGGGTTCGATTCCCCGATTCGGAGTGTATCGTCCAAGTTGAACACCATTGTTTTTCCGAGTAGGTTCTCTTGGGTAAAAGCGACTTTTTTTATTAAAAAAATTAATTACAACAGTGCAAATCACCCAAGTAACGAAAGCTGTTTCTGCTAAAATATAAAAAGAAACATGTAGTCTATTAATAAAGAATACCTGCTATTCTTAAGCCAAAGTAAGTAGTTAACCTGAACCAGCAACTTGAAATCCCCTCCATGCATTTGCCAGAATTGTATCGGTGAGCTCCAGGTGCTCGTGCCTCCACTCAGTTACTGGAGACTGCTTTTTGGCTAAGGTCGTTCCTGATAACAATGTCCTCTCTATCGCTGAAGTGCAGGATAACATTAACACCTAGCAGACTGATATTCTCGTCGCGTTGTTCATACCCAGGAGTGACAAAGTCCAAGCTCTGAAGTGAAGCACGTGTCGACAGCTCGGCCTTGAGCTGTCGGATTTCGGCCGTAAGGGCCAGATATTGTTCTTTCCAGGTGCATTGATGGTTTGGAGGGGCGATGGGCGTCGGCTTAGCAATTTCGAGTTCAGATGCTTGTTTGGTGAATGACTTTGTTTCACTATGCCCGAGTTCTTGACCAGGCCTGTGAGCGGTAGGTATAAAGGATCTCGCCGATTCTCCTTGGTGAAGGGACGCATGTAAGGGGATTATAGGATCGGGATTTTCTCGGCTGAGCTGAGTGTCACGGCACAGATGCGTATTATGAGCCTCCTATCTTTCTACAGGCGACTGCGGCATTCCACTCTGAGCTGTAGAATTTGCCCCTTGATGTTGAGCCTGCTGGGAACGCGTCTCACGGACATGGCTCGCTGAGGATGCGATATCTCTAGGGTGTGGAGTGGGCTCAAAAGCCTCACGCAGCTTCGACACTGAAACTGGGGTGCATCTTTGCTTGCGCTCATTAGGGTTGTGGCCAACCTGTTCCTTGGGCGTAATGTCAGGGGGCTCGGGTACCTTGGGCACCACAGAATACGGATTCTGTCTTTTTATCAATGCAGGGCTTCTTGAGGGAGTAACCGCATGCGTTTTCCAACCGTCGTCGGTAACAGCCCTGAGACCACTGTAGTTGTGACCATGGGTTGTATGGCGTGTCGTATTGACATGAAGCAATGGAGCAGTAGCATCGGCTGCTTCCTTAGTAGGAGTCCTTAACCACGACGGTGTGCTGACTAAACGAACTTTCGGGGGTTCATTATCACGCCTGGCTGGGGTCAAGTCACTGTGATTAGTCACTTCCTCCGACATCGTATCCATTATCTTAGGTGGCTGGTGATTTGACGCATTTGTCGTGACTTTGGATGCTTCGGGATTTTGGTGTCTCTCTTCCCCCGAGCGACTTGGGTGGCCCGGACGGACGACGTCTTGAGTCCACTTAAAAGGGTTGATCTGTGTAACTGGTTTGGAAACTGTGAAGGGCTCAATATGTGAGGTCAGCTTGGCTCTTGTCCTCAGAGTAGGTTGAATATTTCTTCCACTGCGCCCTTTTAGAAGATCGTAGGCATCGTAGCCAACTGCTGATGACAGATGCTCTGCGATGTGATGTTGACTATGAAAGCCAGCAGAGTGGTGACGATGAATGATATTGGCTGCGCCGGAATGCTGCACTTCAGTAGAGTTAGGCCTCTCGACTACCTGAGCTCCAAAGGACCCATTTGAAGGGTTCCCTGGACCCTGCCCATTCTTTCCCTTTTCGTGTTTTGAGGACATATCTTCGGCATGGGTGGCCTTGCGCATAGGATCGGTACATTCTACTGGGTTCACGAGGTGTAGATGAAGTTCCCCCGTGCCTTGTTCTTGAATATTTTTATCTCTGAGTAGAAATGGATTTTGCTCGATGGGCCGCATTGATCGGCTATGCATCTGTTTAGATTGCTCTTTGTCCATATATGAATGGTCTCTTCTGGGCGGAACCGACGCTTCAGAAAAAGCCGTGTTTCCTCTGCGTTCCCCAGTCGGCTTCCACCAGCTGGAGTCGGCACGGAGAATAGGTAGTCGATGATGCTTTATCTCTATGTTGCCTTGGTCCTGACCTTTAAAGCTAGAACAAGTCGTGCTAACTTCAGGGTGATGTATGGGATCCAGGCTTGGCCTAGAAGCAGACACATACTTGGGACTATCTCCGGGGATAATAGGGTTTGGATGGTGCGAGGAGTTAGCGTGGGGTTGGGGCGTGCCGCCAGATACTTCGCACATACACCGACTGCAAAGGCGGTGTCCACAAGACGAGCAATGAGTTGGCGCCCAGGTGGGAGTTGAGCACATGTGGCAGTATCTGCAATATCTTCGGGGGCTGGCATTTCCATCCCCTGATAGAGACAGGCCCTCCATGTCCGAAAGCCAGCCAGAAGGCCTGCTGATGTTGTACTGTTGAAACAAGTTACGGGCCGACCTCAGTTTCACAAGTTCTGGCGTACGGCCCAACATTGATGAAGTCAACGGCAACATTGGCGATTCCACTACTGGACATAGAGGGTTTGCAAAGCGTTGAACTTCACAAATAGCTGCTGGCAACTGAGCCAGCGTTGGGCTGAACGGCGTCTCTGTGATAACGCCAGGCCCATATTGTCCACCGGAAGAGTGGATTTCTGTGCGGCCAAATCTGTTGCACATATGGCCTAACGAAAAGCTCTTCCGGCACGTTGACGGCTGGAATAGAAATGACGACCGAGTTCCGTATCTCTCGTCAGGTTCACTCCGCCCGCAGCTGTGAAAGACATATGAAAGGGCAATGGGAGGCGCCCGAAAGTCGGGAATATCAACATGGTGTGTAGGAGAGTTTGTTAAATGGGAGCGTGGCGGAAGTCCCTAACCGACACCAGCATGCGCACGCTCGCGTTCGACGTAGTTGGGATCTTCGGACAATAGGTTAAGCTGGCTGGAGAGTGTGTGGAACCGACGCAACCGTTCTGCAACCGTTCCAATGCGGATTGGGGTTCGAGGTTTATGACATTCGCTCTGGTTGGGTCCGTCCATTTTATCGGGAGTGACCTTGAGTGGATGCAAAGACGTGACTGAAAGCTGTTAAGGGGACTGTGGTAAGCGTAGAAGTAGCGCAATGGCTCATACACAAGCATCGACATAAGATATATGCATACCTCAGCATCAAGAATCTAGGATGATTACTATTCGACTGGTTGCCGACACCAGACTAAAACACCAAAGTCAGCAGGATTTAGGCGATCCGGCCAATATACCAGCGGAATGACGTGGGGAGCAGCAGCTTGGAAGCACCAAGCTAGGCAAGGCAGCTGCGATACGAGTGGCAAGGAGGCACATTCACGAGCGAGGGCAGCCGCACGTGGATATGTCAAAATCATCAAACCCGCCCTGCTTCGCTCTTGGAAATTGTAGGAATTATGCTGATGTACAAGTTTGTTGTGCGATAACTATCCTCTATACAGTCTATTTCAGAACGGCCTGCAAGCTCTCCAGGACCTAATATTTATTGTGAGCGATTGGGACACAAAGTAGATATTGAACGCGTGGCTTACCTCCAGCTCAATCTTAGCCTCCGCAATATCTTGTTCACTGCCGCTGCCGTTGGCAACCTTCTGTGCCTCGGCAATCTGGGCTCGGACGGCGTCGGCGCTGAAATCCTCGAGAGGGAAGCCCTCAACGGCATTGATGCTGAGGACCGAGTTGGGTTGCACGGTAGCGTAGCCACCAGAGACTATGACTCGACTTCAGTGAACCGTCTCAAGCGAATCTAAACCTTGCCTTATCTATACGTACGGAAAAACTGCTTGCTGGTGCCGTTCTCCTCGATGACCTCGATGAGTCCGGGCTTCAGTTGTTCGATCGAAGGAACGTGGTTTGCGAGGACGCCCATATCGCCAGAATCAGCCGGGATGTTGACCTGAACGACATCCTTCGACGTATAGATGGACTGGTGCGGGAATTAGCGAGTCGGCTGGCAGCGAGGTCGCATTCACTCTGGTGGCTTGGGCGGAGCCGCGACCACGGCCATGCACGAGGCGCCGGTCGCTTCGCCGGGGGTCATCGTACCTGGTGAGGGAGAGACAAGCTTAGCTTGATCTACGCAGTGTTAGCAGAGCAGCTCTTCAGGTGCTGTGGCAGACGAGCCTTGTCAGGGGCGGCGTCGGCGTAGCTCCTTCGCTGCAGGGGCTGGATGGGGAGCCGCATAGCAGCGGGACGAGCTCGCAGAGCTGCGCGGGCGACGCGGAAGGCGTTCATGATGACAGGCGTTGTCAATTGAGGAGATGGGGTGACGAGCGAAGCTCACGATGGGCAGTAACTAGCAAATTGAGATGCAATGCTTGAAGCGACGGAGTATCGGAAGATTCTCAGTCTAGCCTGATTGGGCAGAGCCCTGAGCACGTGTTACGGCACGTGACCCTGATGTCTGACAAGCCCCGTACCTCTGGGTAACTTGATGGTATGCAGCTAACGGAGTCCCATGTGATATGCACAGGCCACTTGCCCCTGCCCCTGTTGTACTATGACGTAGGAGGCATGCCCAAGACTCACCTACCTACTCATAGCTACGACTCAACTACCGAGCAATCCAAGGCCCGACTGCGGGAGATCGTTTTTGAGCCTCGGACTGCCCAGTTGGGTAATGAGGTTTTATGGCTTACGAGCACTTGCGAAAAGTGAAAGCGGCAGGCCAGCATGCAGCTCCGAGTCCAGACGCATGCTCCCTAACACCGCGTTCATCGCGATGAAGCTGGGACTCTCGCAATAACCTGACACCAAGACAAGCGGAGCGGCAGCGTCATCAACACATATTGGCTTGGCTGAGTGGTGAGACCTGCATAGCAGTAGAATGCACTCGAAATCGGCGGTCGCCCAGCTCTGCACTTAATCATTTTACTATCGGGTAAAAATGCCAGCCAGCC